GTAGACGCACCTTTGCTGAACCTCTTTCAGGCTCGGACTACGAGCTGCCTTCGGATGTGAAAAATACATTCGAGGACATCAATGAGAAATACAACACACATCTGGTTAGTCGAAAAGCTTTAGTTGAATGCCATAGAGCTCCTCGGTACCATTCCACCGCAACTTCTTATTTTTCTAAAGTGATGAATTATTGCCATTACATCGCTCACACACGCATGGTTCACGAAAGAACTACGAAGCAGTACCCTCTTAAGCCGGGTAAGCTGCTGAAGTTAGGAGCTTATAGATGAAATCCGCTCCCGAACGATTTTACGGTCTTGAGTCGAAGCCGGATCTCATAGTGGTGATGATCACGCGAGAGAAAGTATCATTTATTCATGTATTTGTTGAAATACCATTCAGAAGTGGGATGATGCTTTGGCAGCCAAGGCGATGGTGGAAGCAGTTGAGCCAGACAATCACGGAGATTTTTTCGAGACCCGAAACTCAATGTTGGTATTTGCTAGTTTTCTTTTTTTTCTCACCTTGAGAATGGCGAGAGGTTCGGAAGTTCAGGCTTCCCACGAAGAGGTATATGGGACCGCCGGAGGAGAAAGTGTGCTTGATTCTGCTAAACTCCTTCAAAAAATATGCAGATAAGGTGAGTTGAATTCAGAGGGATCACTAATCTTGCACCATGGTACTGTGAACCAGGCAAGGTTGGACTATCGCGTTCAGACAGATGCAAAAGTGCAATGTCAATGCAAAGTCAAACAGTGCGCAATAGAAACCAAGGGCGATTCGAGGAATTGTGACGAGGGAGGAAGTATTTGCCCCGATGGAGTCAAAGTGGAATGATTCCCTTTCCCCCAGTGTATTCCGTCGTCTTCAGTGGCAGTATACAAGAAGCTGGTAGGATCAAGAGGAAGAATGCAGATGGTCTTGTATAGAGTAGGATCATCCGCAATTTCAATGAGACTAGTGTGAATGAGTAACCAGTTCCTTCGACGTCTCACCTTATGCACATCCCTAATCTCATTGTCGTGACCTGTCTTCTTGCTTCAAACAGAATAGGGTAGTCATTCATCTTAGAGTATTCGATGAAAAACTGGAAGAGCTCCATTTTCTGTCTGGACCTATGTTGACGGGCTCATCCTCTCTGGCTACCTACAAAGCCATTGAAATATCTTTTCCCAAGACCGCATTCAATGTGACGTTTTTCAACGGATGTAATGGAATTTTCGACACTGAGACGAAGCCACACGACAATCTTCTATATGTGGCCTGTCTTTACAAAACCCTCAACTGAAAAAATTAGTTTCTGATTTTCTCAATGAAAGGCTATCGTAAAGCAAAGTATAATACATATAAAGGCACTAAAACGGTCTTACAAAGTGAATTGTAACCCGTTCGTAGAGAAAGTCTTTGGTGGCTCTCGATCGAGCAGGATTCAAAATTGTACCTTCCAATGGGAGATGTAGGAACAAAATTACCCATATCGTTAGAATCGAGTGTATCTATGTCGATAAGTAAGCAATAGGAACGACTTCGCTCTGAAGTTGAGTAGAGGGCAAGACTGAGCGTCGGGTCACTCGGGAAACATCAAGGAGTGCTGAAGAAGACGGAGAACATGACACTACACTGCGCTCACCTTTTGATGCTGGGACCCTTCCTGCTTTTGCCCTTCCGGAAGCTTGGACTCCACAAAAATAGTATGCACATGCAGTCAGTGTCATTGATCGCCCTGTTCCCAGCGTACATGGGAATGCGGAGGCCTGAGCTTTGCTGGTGAACGAAAATTAGGGATGTCGTCGTTTACGCCAAGGAATTAAAGACACTGTGAGCCGGACACGTCTTTTGATATTGTGATGACTGTTGGTAGAAGGCAGATGCTGATCGGATCCCCCGGGACGTCGAGAGATCACTAGGACGGCCGCAGTGCCATGTTCAGTCTTCGTCGCTGAAGCTTTGAGCGAATCGAATTCTGGTGTCTCATGTCCCTCGAGCAAGAACGGCCCATTGGACTACTTTAGCTAGCGACAGGGCGAATGGAGAATTTACTGCGGCCTTTCCTGAGGAAATCGATGACCAACGAGAGACAGTTGATACACGTGTTAGCCTGGAACATGTTAGCCTTAAAGGCACCGTTCACGACAAAAAAGTTATTGAGTTCTTACCTTATTAATACTCAGCGGCCCCCATGGGTTGTAGAAGGGTCCTCCTCACTCCCGCAATTTCGACGTCCAGGGCATAATGGCGGGCCCGTTGTTGTCGTAATTCGCATCTCCGCCCCTCGACCGATGTCACGTTAGACGAGTGTCGAGACGACAC